ATTTCCAAACCACGGCCACTAAGACCAAACCCACGGCGACTGACTTTTTAGCTGCCACAAACCAATAGCGAGCTGCCGTGGTTACGGCAGCAAATCGAATACCACCAATTTTACTGCCGTAACCACGGCAGGTCGGCTGTAATAGCAGGGCTGCCCCTTATCTGCTGATGGTGATAAATATTTGGTGAGTTGGAATGTTTTTCTTATGGATACAGTTTGGATGGATTTGGGGTTAGGGTTAGGGTTTAAGTAGATATAATTTCGCATGATAAACTAAAATATGGTACATGAATTTGTAAATATACCGGTAATAGCGCCATAAAACCATGGCAGAAGACGGCGTGGTACGTTCGTGGCAGGAGCTGCCATGAAGTGGTAAGAACTGCGCCTCGAAATTTTTGGATCAGGATCTCCAGCAATTTTTGCTCGCACCACAATAAGGATTTAAAAAATTTGGAAAAACACGCTCATATGCTGTAAATTGCCATACGTCAGGTTTTTCTCGGACACGTCTGGTATTTTAGTGAATCTTCATATGAAGTTTTACATAGTCAGTCGCAACATTTTCGTATAGAATCCCTTACATTGAATTATTAAAATGAAATAAAAATACTGGATTGTATAATGAAAATATTTGGGTTTGTTTTAGGAATAACCCAGAGAGCCTAGTTCTTTAACTACAGACAAGCATAATCAAACGAACATTTCAAATGTACAAAATGGGACAGTAAACTGTTCCTCTTGGGCAGTATAATTCCTAGGTCGCAATCATACGCATGTATATGTTCATTTCAGAAATTCCATATATCGAACACCCACTATTTAAATGTAAGTGGTACCGTGCATAGAGAGTCAACATGCAGTAAGTAATAAGAAACAGATGCTGAATCGTGGTTTGGCAAAGAAGAATACAGTGAATATATTTTCAAAAAATGCGATAGTAATATATTTTAATATATTCTACCGTAAATATTTACTACTACTTCAACACAATTCAAATAGCTAGTTAGGTTTCAAAGTTAAAAAAAACGAATATATAGACATATGAACTTGGAAATAGTTGGCCAGTATATGGTTGGTCGAAAACGACAAAAGAACCCAATACTCCAATCCACGATTTGTGCATAGACTGCTATGGAACATCCAATCCATTTACGAAGCTTAAAATTTGTCACTGTGTTATTTTTGCAATATAATTGAAGTAGGCCCACAACATCACCATTTTTCGTCAGCGAGTGTTCTTTAATCCATATATCTGTATAGGATAAGCACATACACGTCTTACATTTTAATTTGAATTTATAAGATATTGCCCGATGTCATATCGTGTTTTTGTTTTATTGTGTTTTGCCTGTTTTGGGGGGACGGGCACGTACTTGTACGTATTTAACTTTTTTATTAAGTTATGCCCGTCCTCCAGGTCCTCTGTATTTTGTTTGTCCATTTATTGTTGTTTTGTGTTTTGTTTGTATCAGAGTGACCGAATAAAATTGATTGATTGCTGTCCATGGCACAAATATGTGCAAGGAATGATATTAAATGATAATGTAAATCCAATAGTAACAATACCCCAGAACAAGTTAAAATAGACTATAAGACACATATCCACAACAGTATCACTGCTTTATTTTGTAATAGAGATATAGTATTAAGTCTAGTTTCATCAACAGATCCTCATGCCACAATCCCATACATCAGTGGCGCGCCTAGAGGGGACGAGAGAGGCGGCCGCCCCGGGCAGCACGTTGTAGGGGGCAGCAGAACCAAGATGTTGAGTCTGCGTTATTACACATAAGACATATTTTTTGTTTTGTTTTATTAATCAAAAGCTGACATTATGTGTTTAGTATTGTGCGACTGACTGTGGTAATGATGAATCAACAATGGGTTTTTCCCCGAACGTCTCTACCTATATTTTTTGATTGCAACATTTTCGGTGCTTATTTTAAGGGTGGTTTCGCTAGTTTACGCCTTACACTGGTTAATATATATGTCTCAAACAATCATTTGAATTCCAAATAGGCAACCCTGTTTATAAAAAGTACCTATCTATATCACAGCTATTTCTAAACTAACTTTTGAATATTCTATTCAATTGTCTTGCTGCACACGAACATAAATGTATTTCTGTAAGTATCATTTCGTCGAATCCACAAACATCACAAAAAGGACTTCAACAATTTGAAGAAAATTATACTGAAAAAGAAACCAGACTACAACACCACAAGCGGAGCCTAAAGTCCTTCGTAGCAACAGGGACATCTCCTAAAGCTCTCCAATTTACCTATCGAAACGTTACAGAAATATATTTGTGTTCGTGTGCAGCAAGACTCTTGAATTGAATAGCCACACTCTTGCTACAGCATCCTTGCGTAATACGCATACGGATACACCTGCTCAAAGGCATATAGAGCAAGGAAAAGTAGTTAGGTTTCACGCAACCTCAACTGTTAGTTAACTATTGATTACTGGGATTAAATATAAAAAGACAGAATAATTAGGGTATATTTCATTCGTACTGAAATTTCCAAAACATAAACAATAAAAACTAACAAATTACACGGAAAAACGAGGGCATGTTTACAACCATGCCAGAAAATCTGTCTGTTCGGCTGGCAAATCGTATACTGTTACGTCGCTTTTCCAAAGTGAAAACAGAGATTTTTCAAAAAAATGCTAAAGATTTTTTTTGCTTGTTCGATTGAGCTTACTTGAGAAGTTTTTCTAACTTTTTGCATTGCTTATTGTTTATTATTTACAATCGAATACTCAATTGCTAGTTGCGAACGATCTTTCTCCAAGTTAAAACAGATAAAAACATATTTGAGGTATTCGATGTCAAATTAGCGCCTGTCCATTTATCTTCGATTAGCATCGAAAAGAAATTCCTGACGAGCGAGGAGAAAGAGGCTGTCGTTCACACATTTGTTAACAGCTAAGTGGCGATTTGACCGATTTGACATAGAAATAGGTGACATGTTTTTTGTTATTACATGAATTCGATCGTATACGTGTTGTTTAGTTTAATGATTAATACAAACATTTCAATCTAACTTGACCTTTAATTTATTTATTTTCATGTATAACGACATCTATATTCTGTTTAATCCCCGAAATATTTTTAAGTTGGGGATAGGGGGCAGCATTAGCAGAAACTCGCCCCGGGCAGCAGAAAAGTTTGGCACGCCCCTGTGCCATACTACAAGTGCGAGTAAAAGAGAGAAAAGTGAATAGTTAGCACGATTTTTTAGGAATCAAATATAATGTCACCTAATATAATATATTTCTTTTGATCAAAAGGTACAGGTGATTGCTAAGCGCATCCACGCCAAGAACAATCGAAGAAAAATTTTCTATGTGAATAGGTATTTCAATCCAAAGCTTTTCACATGAGTTGTCATTCAGAATATAGGCTATTTATCCAACACTGAATAATTTAAATGATAACATATAATTCAACTCCACCAGCATGTGTTGGTGTATGTAAAAATCATATCCTCGAATATCTATATTAACAATTGGGTCAGTTTAAGTTTCGTTTCAGCGAGTTCTATTACATTAGGGAATGGATTTAGGTCAAGTACAATGTTGGACGACTCATATATGTGAATTGTATAGACCAAATATTAAAATGAGTCAAAGTAAATTGATTTTTAGATTCACCAGAACATCTTAAGGTATCATATTATACGTTGTCAAAAGTCACGAGGGCCAAACATCGTTCAATATTTTTAAAATTGATATCGGATGTATCGAGTGGTTCTAATTTTCTGTATAAAAATACGTTAGAAAATCTCTATTCGTTTTTATTCGTTGATTTCAACAATTCACAGAATACGTATCCTGATTAACTTAACCTGATTAACTTAACATTGAAAAATTTCTACACTATATATATATTTAATCGAATAGCGAATAATATATATATATTAAAACGTGATGTCCGTGTAAACAGAAACTCTTATTATTCTGATATGGGTAGTTATGTAGCCTACGTCGTAAGGATAGAAATTTACATATAATAATTTCAATCAGTGCCTAATTATCTTGAGAAAATAACTTTTAATTTGATAATGACCGGGTGAACTTTTGTTCCTGGGAGCTATATTTTTGTAATTTGATTCCTACGGATGTCTTTGTTGGAATTTGGGGTAAAATTAAGTTACTGTGCATGGATCAGTGTCAAAATTAGAATATTTGAGACGCGGACACTCCAGTTCTTTAGTCACTTCGGAAAGCTCCTCAACTAATTGGTCACTTTGACAAAAGATAGCTTCCAATTCCTCAGCCATTTGTTGAGAATTATTTATGACTGATTCGTTAATTGGACTTCTTCTTATCATGTTCTCTTTTTGAGTCTTCCAGTAGGTCCCTTATATTTTCTTCTACTATTGCTTTGATTCCGATTTTTAAATTTTTTGTTACACGCAACTCCATCGAATCCAGTTTTATCTTCAATTGATCAATTTTTCCTTCCATTATAATCGAATTAAAATTACCAAGTAGTCTAAGTTAGTTTTAAGTATATACAAGAAACTGTGAATCTTAATAAAACAGCGAATGATGACCTCGACGCCAGCTAGTAGTCATTAGTCAACTCTGTACGAATTACGGCTTCGACGTGTACTAGACTAGGGGCGTGCAACTCTTTAGCGCGATGGGCCACAAACTACAAGTATAGTGATACCGGGGGCCAGACCATCGAACAACCCATAAATTTCTCTGAATAAGGTATTTAATGAAAGAGCACGTACAATCAATTTATTCATTGGGTAGTTGATTAATAGGTATATACTTTACAGGGCATTGAAGCAAATTGTATGTTACAAGACTTCAACTATTTCCCGAATAAAAATGCGTGAATGTCGGCGCATCATTACTAAATATTGAGTTATTATAAATTTTAATCTGATGCGAAAGAGACATTGGTTTTGCGTAGTTCGAAAGTAAACATTACGACAAGCAGTACATTACTAACAATCAGTGTAAATAAACCGACAGTTTACAGCGATAATTTGTCAGCTAATTTAATCATGCGGACGAGTTTTATTATATGTACTCGAATTTTGTGACAATCACAATGGAACATTCGCCACCATCCAGTCTGCGACGAATTGATAATAAAGGTAAGGAGTTTCAATTTGATGCTGAACGTCTTTACTATTGTATGATTGTTATTGGCTAGATAAATGATACTTGACAAGACAGGTTAAAAGTCAGGGCTGTTTTACAAAAGGGGACATGAAATACTAGGAAACATTCCGCAAACGTCTAAATATCGACATGAAGCAGTGGCTGTAACCAAGCATCTACAATGTATAGATTTATTAGACAAAGAAAGAATGGGATTCGAATAACTTGAACTATTTTAATATCGCTGTAACTTTTGGCAAGCATTGATTCAATTCATCATTTGGCAGATTGGGATATAAAAAATCAGCTTTTGAAAGGACATGTGTAAAACTTTGGATTATCTCTTAACATCAATATTATCATGGCATTGTAAGCATTTCTGTCATAATGTTTAGTTTTGGCGTAGAAATGTATAACTCTCTGTGTGACAATTCAGTTTGGTTTTGAGATGTACTAAGAACTAGAATGCCCACAGAATAATATGTGTTCTGAATCACGTCATTGTCTGTATTTATACACTTTCCGCGTGTATGACACAGGCATGTATTATTACAATGCTCACAAGTTTAGAGTGCGATACAGAAAGTATCTATCTCATCGTCGTTTTTCGCTTATATTTAATGTCCATTGCCCATGCAGTACTTTTTAAACCTCATTTGAAGTTTTGCAACTTTCTAAAATTTTCGTTTGTTGTGCTTGTCTTGTTTGTTATCATTATTTTGTACTTCTATATTATATATTTATCATTATAGAGTAACACCAAGTGGAAAAATTTTCAATCCCAAAAATATAAAAGTACAGGGAGTCCTCGGGTTACGACGTTGCAAGTAAACTGAAACCAGATAGAAGGGTAGATCGCAGTATTAGAAAGACATCGGTTAAAAAACTTGTGGATGAATAGAGCTCACGTAAGCACCAAAAAATAACCTGATGGATGATTCCGTTCAATTATAGGCGTGAAATGTTTTTAAAGTTGCGCTGTAACAAACGATAAAGAATATAACGAAGATTAGTATATATATATATTTGTTCAAGAAAATGTAAATCACATTTAACAAACAAAATTATCGGAATTTGTTTGAACTTGTGCAGATAAGTACACACGTGGCGATGAAAAACTCTAATAATGATTGTAGTACAAATTTCTGATGACGCATTCATGAGAATAGTCAATACTTCCTCACAATGACATAGCATTTTAGACTGACAAGTGCCACGTGGTATATGAATTGTTGGTGATGCAACAAGAGTAATATATACTCAAATGAGACAGGCTGTTCTTGACATAGAATGTAATTTCTTGATGTTCGATAATTGATTTTTTTCAGTTATGTGTTGAAAAATAATGGTTAACATAAAAAAACACAGCTTCTATTTCTCGGTTTTACTCTTCTGGAATGAAGTCTTTGTAACTATAGATCATTAACCCATTAAAATCTATGCATTTAGACAACGATAAGCTTAACATCAAACCCTTTCTTCTTAAAGTTGCATCAAAAAATGGATCGTTCTCTTTCAACATAAATCATTCATCCAATTATTTATATATTATTTTAAAATTATTCACGGATTGGGTCACGCCTTCAAATTGGGTAATTTTTTTTATACAAGTAACTAACTACACAAAAATATGGCACTGCTGTTTTTGCAATGCCCAAATCTTCTGAGGGTTCTTAATAGCCCTTTCAGAAGGTTCATAACCTTGAATGAGATGGCAAACATATGTTCAGCAATGATCTTAGATCAGTAGTCGAAACCGAGACCTATGATCGACAACGCCAACGTGCATTAGGTAACATACATATCCTTATGCATGAAGTCTTAGCTTTGTATTTTATCAAATAATAATAATATCCAATCTTTTCGCTCTCTACCAAAAGTACTGCTTTAGTGACGCAGTTAAAAACCCATTTTGTTAACTCTGTAAACAATTTTTTACAAAACAATCGCAATCCATACAATTTGTACATGACGCGGCAAAGTGATCTAGATCAATGGATCCCAATCTCTATTATCTTGCGGCGTATTGGCAGCGTAAAAAATCTGAACCGTTAATGAGGATTTTGAGTAACATTCAATTTTATTTTTATTATTAATATAAATAAATAAACAATACAGTAATGACAGTAAGTGTCAATGACCAAACTAATCCTTGCGTCTATTCATCAGCTTGTCACGTTGAACTTTCGAACCTTGGTTCAATTTCATCCATACATTTTTCTTTGGACTGATCTATATTTTAATGAAATGAATATTATCTTTCCATTTTTCCAAATAGATGAAGACGCAGATGAGTTTTATTCGGACGAAAAAAGATCTTCGATTGCATCGCAATCGTCGTCCATTATACAAGATGCGGAAATTTCTGCCGCAAAAGAAAAATTCTGGGACGAAAAGAAGCAAAAAATCACAATTGGTATGTACATGGCCAAAATTTATAATGATAAGTTCATAGAAGCTCCTGTTCAGGTCCGATTTAATTTGGTTTATCAATTTAATCGCCAAACTTGCGAAAATTCAGAATTCCATGTCTGATATTCGTATGTATTTTGTCATTTTTGTGTAACTATAAAGTACGATATATTAGTAGATAACGTTCCATATTGTGTATTGCTACATAAATTGCTCAAGATAGCGGACCGTTTTATTTGATTATTATTAATAACATTTAACCTTCTATTCACGCAAATGAAAATTGGAATGGCTGCTTGACGTATTGTAATATACAACTCATATTAAAATGATGTTGATCAATATAGACTAATATAAACTACTGTTTGATGCACATGATAATTCAAACACATTGAAATGATGCTAACTGTTAAGTTTAATATGTTTTAACAAGAATAAGTGAACGAACATTCTTACTAGATTGGGTTTGGTAGAAATCAACTGTTGAAACGTGTTGATGCAACACGCGCTTACATTAAAAATTATCCGAGTAGCAAATATTGATTTTAACGTTCATTTAGGATGCGTCATTGTTATATTTCTTGCGGTTTCATGGGTTGGGACGCAACAATTTGCACAAAATGCCGTGCAGCTTGCCAGCTTCAATGCTCCTTACTTCACCACTTGGATGGGAACATGTTGGATGACTTTGTGCTTTCCAGCTTACACTATTTTTATAGGATTGAAATTCAGGAACCGTGCGGAAATATCAATGTCTTTCAGGTGATGTTCATTTTTCATGAACAATATTTTAGCTATGCCCTTTCGGGGACATGTATTTAGTTCTATCATAATAGGTTTAGGCATAGTTTGAGACTACATTTGCAATCAAAAATAATAAATTTATATAGGTGATTGGATCTCTGCTTTAGCGAATGGGTTACACCCATCATAAAATAAATCTTTCAGACTCGGAAAATTATATTCGGAAATTAAAAAAAGAGCAAAGAAATGAGGGCAATATCTGTTACAAAATTGATGATGATTTATAGTATGATTCTTTGCGACTTATATACTTATATGTATATATATATACGACTTATATGTGATAGTAAGAGAATATTTTCTATACGAATAAATCAAATCAAACTGAAATCTCCATAAACAAGATTTTTTCTGATATTTCGAATGTGGACGTGTATAGAGATACATTAAGGAGAAATATTTGTGAAATGTCCAAAATTTACGAATTATTATTGCAATTTGCTTATAAAGTCAGTTCAGTCGTACCAAGACCAATAACAAAGTGTGTCATAGAGTTATGACATTTACTTTGTATGAAAAATATAGAACAAAAAAAATGAAAATGCTGAACAAAAAAAAACAATACCACAGTAAGATGTGATTAGTATACTTTTTTTTACATTTAGAGATGCAGCGCGAATGTTTAAAACTCCTGAAATATCGAAAACACAGTTCTTCTTGAAGATTGTTCCTTTAAATATGTTGTGGCTGGCCACAAATTACTTGTATATTTCCAGCCTGAAGTTTATTGCTGCAACCGATGCTTCTGCCATATTTGCTTCAAATGTTGCTTTTGTCTACATGCTGGCGTTGTGCATTCTTCATGAAAGACTTTACGCTATAAGGGTATGTAGTAGTATTTTGTGAAGCTGTTAGAAAAATAAAAAATTGCCATTGTTTTATACTCTCTCATTGTTACGACCCCATATGGGATTGTCGCCTAGTCCGTGTATATAATATCATTTAGCATCTGAAGGCGTTATTCTAAAAACATTTCTATTCTCAGATTTTTGCCTGCATTTTTTGCATAGCTGGGGTTGCATTATTTGCCTATGCCGATGGTTTCGTGGGCGGATCCGGAATTTTGGGAGGTACCATGATGACAGTTATATCTGCTTTTGGAGCAGCGCTTTACAAGGTAAGCGTCAGATGTATTGATTTCATTGGACACGAAGTGGACCTATGGATCGTTTTGCTGTTGCGTTGTCGTTGTCAGAATTCTTCTTGTTGTTGAGAAAAAATCGCTTTTCATTTTAACTACTGAACCAATTGCATTGAAATTTTCAATGGTTAAAAATTGTTGTGGTCGCTGTTACTTCAATTTATTTCGAAAAGTTTCTGTGGGCTCCACGGGATTCGTTTGTTTGTGTGCGATGACGTAATCAAATTTAAAAAAAAAATGCGCGCCTTTTGGCGGTTCTGCGTTTTCGCTCGATGTGATATGGTGGTCAGTCCAAATCATAAATACCACAGTAATGTACTTTGAAAGACAACGAGCCCACTAAGCTAGCAATCTTATTCGTATTGGCGTGATTGTGACTGGCGTATTGCATATGCATAAACCGTTATGCTACGTCAAGAGAAGTGCTTATGGTTAGGGTTACTAGTTTACACTAGCCCCACGTACGATAGCCATTCCACAATTTCAGCTTCGTTCATGATATGGTTTTGGGAAAATTGTGAGTAAAATATTTCGTTCTGGCCCCGGTGTTTATACATTTGAACATTGCTCTCATGTTTCATAAAAAAAGTGTATGTAATTGCAGTTATAAATAAAGTATTCATAAACTCCTCACAATCCTTATGTGCTCCCAAATATATATAATTTATATTACAGGTTATTTTCAAGTCGTGGTTGGGAACTGCAAATTTGGGGCAAGTTTCTCTCTTCCTGTCTTTGCTCGGAGTCAGCAACGCAGTTTTTATGTGGATCGTGTTTTTGATTCTTTATTTTACTGGAGTGGAATACTTTGAAGCGGATGATATACCATGGTCAGACCTGACCACGTCGAACTTTCTTTCTTTAGGTAACTTTATTTATTCAATTAGGATTATTGTATTTCGCATCCTTATTGTAAAATTGAACAAGTAAATTTAATTTGAAACGAAGAGAGATTCTCAGATACCCATTCACTCTCCATAATATAAGAATATAACAAATTTAATTCGTTTCGTGGTTCAATCCCTTCAACGCACATGTGTAACTTTAACGTCTCACTTCAAATAAATAACTTGATAATATAAAATCTATTGAATTTTTCTATCAGGTTAATGAATGTTCCAATCTTTTAGTGTTCAACTTTGCTGTTAATTTCGGCGTGGCTTATACGTATCCTTTATTTATATCGATTGCAATGATGCTGGGAATCCCGCTCAACGCAGGTAATAAACAATGTTTAATGCTATTCGTATTGTATTATCAGAGTAGATATTTATTACGATAGGGCGTATATATTTATAGTTGAATATACAACAAACTCTACCAGAGTTACTTGTCAAGCATAATAAAAATGAACTGGAATTAATATTTATTATAAAAAAAAAACAGTATTTTTCCACTCATGCTGAATTTTTTTTCAGTCGTTGACATTTTTGTGAAAGGCGTTACATTCAGTCCTGCAAGGCTCGCTGCAGCTTTTCTTGTAATACTTGGTTTCTGTGTTATGCTTTTTCCGGATCACTGGAACTATCCAATCCATGATGCTTTTCTCTGTAAGTGTCAAAATTGCAAGACTTCCATCGAAAAAGAACATGCAGAAACGAACAACGGAAGAGGTTATACGAACCACAAGATTACAGAAGAAAAAGTGTGAAACCAAAAATCCACAAATTGCATGCACTATTGCTTATATCTGCAATGTGTTTTTATATAAGAATAACTGCTTGAACAATTAAGCTTCATTGTTTTGTATCATGCATAAAGTTAACTTCTATTTCATCACACCGTATCATTGCGAGATGAATATTGTTTTCGCGATAAATTTTTCATATTGAATTTGAAACAAAATCAATTTTTGAGAAGTTTTCTCATGGAAAATTCCGTGACAAAAGATTTAAGGCTACTGTAAAATTATGTTCCATAGCAGAAAAACTAACAAGAGAAATTTCAAATGAAGTGGATTGTCTGGTGGGTATAACAAAACAGTTCTTTCAACGAAGAACGATTCAAATTAAAAAAATTTGATTGATCATTTTGTACAATTCTATTTTTGATAGTTGTTTAATCGTTGATATGTAAGTATGAATTGAACGTTATCTCGAAAATACGGATTTTGAAGGTAAATAAACTGTACCGAGTTCAACCGATTTCTCAAAATTTCTAATCAGTAAACTATCGTTCACAATATTGTTGATTCAATTAGATTTTCAGTCGACAAATTATTTTTCGAGCATACTTGAAACATGATTTCAGTAATCAGCATTTTGGAAGGCAAAGTAACAAAACATTTGCAAGAGAATATACATCATATATCCATTTTTGAACAAACAACTCTCTGCTCTGCTCACTGCTTTTCCTGGCCAGGGTCCACATTTCGGGAAGTCTTCAGGCGGTTTCACCCAATCGCTAGGTTCTCCAACTTTAAAAACCAAACTCATTCCTATAACACAAAAAAAAAATGATCACTTTTCTCCGATATTTATGTTTTAAATACAAGAGAGCAACGCTCAAATATATGGACACGTGGACCAGAGTGAAGCAGTCCTTACCTTTGACGTTACCGGTAACGTACCCTCAAAAATTCTCCGATTTTTCAGTCGCAAGAACTTTCAGCCGTCACGCTTGACGGATTAAAAATCGTGTCCCCATAATTAAAAAGTAATACAGAGCAATTCTGGATGAAACATTAGATGACATAAGACTCATAGAAAATTTAGGAATAAATAAATATAATAGCTTTCTGACAATCAATCTTTAACCTCTGAAAATTTCAAAGCAATCGGTCCAGTATTCGAAGAGAAAAGCAATTTTATAATGATGGAGACGAAAATTAACAAGAACAACAACAAAATATTAAAATGATCGTTATGTCCACTAAACGTCCAATAAATATTTGACTTACAACGTTTTACCTATATGCAAATGGAAGATCTGATGACAATGGAAGAACCAGACTCCGGGGTTATCAGCAAAAAAACGAATAACTGTGTATCCACCATGAGGAACAATAACAGTGTCTTTCAGAACTGTGTTGAAATTGTATTCTATACCACCGTTAGCATGAATTTCCTTGACCGATTCGGGAGACAGAGAATCGCCGACCCTGAAATGTGCCAAAAGGAGATTGAGGCGTTCAATATATTATAGAAATAAGTTATAACACATCCAGCAATAACCTATGGGTTGAAAGCCGTGACACATACCCAGCCTACTGTATTTTTTACATTTCGGTATTTGATGAGAGTGACATAGACTTTGATCTAACCAGAATCCCGAGACAGAACTTATGATTCTGATTTTTTCTGTAACACAGCATAAACTCAAGGTTGGCATGACCGATGTTCTATTGAACATATTACGTCTTCAATGAATACTGTAACAATTAGGAAATTCTAAATTACTCAGATATTTTTTCATTGGCTTGAGCACAAGCATATCCATTAAACAGTTCTGATTTTCAAAATGGAAATCCTTTTACTTATCAAGTAAATGACTAAAATGTGATCCGATCATCGTATCCGATACATTAGTTAAACATGTATAGCCCATGCCTTACTTTTTCATTGCCACAACCTTGAAATGCTGTCCATGTAGATGCATAGGATGCCCGACTTCGACAAACGGAAACATGCCCTCATCATAAAGCACCAATTCTACGAGATTTCCAACTTTAGCATTGATGACGTATGGGCAAGAACAGAAGTTATTCTGGCAAAACCGGGAGGTGTTCCGGTTCCATTGAGCCGTTTCGGGATTACACAGATGATCATCATCAATATATTTCGATTGAGTTAACATGGGATATTTTGGAAACGCAAATGAGACGTTGTTTAGTTGTGGGAAGAACCGAGGAACAACGTCGGGAAATGCATAAAGCTCGGGATGATTATAACTCGGGTGATTGATCATATATATATCAAATCCAATAAAATGAGTTTGGTCCGGCGTTCCTGAAAAGTGGAAAGCATTTGTTATTTTTAGAAAAATTTCTAGCATGATTGGAGTACAATTATACGTGTCCCATTACAGGTATTACAGATTTCATTACAGATATTATAGTCAATCCTATCTGTTCTTTGGATTTAATGGCAGAAATGCTGAGAAATCCTCACCATCATATCCTACCCTAGCCGGATATGTCCGAGAATACATCGTTTTAAGCGACGTGACCTGACTGTTGCTTTCATTTGCAGCATCAGCCCATGGATTATTCAATTCTTTTTCAGTTCCAGATGACACTGCAGTTGTACTTGGATCTGATTCGGGCGCTCCTTGATATCTGTACATGGAGGCAAAAATAATAATAAATAAATAATGCCATCAACATCAATTTTTCCTGACATCCCCATTTAAGGTATAATCAACAGATTCTCAATTTGAGAGTGAATTTATGAATTTTAATCCGAGCTTTTAAATCACTCGAACGACATCGAAAATGAAAATTCTTTGATTTGAAATTGATTTTACCTTAAAATCGCCATCTGTGATAATCGAGCACAGCTTTCTAAGGCGCGTACTCTTATCCAGTAGTTTGCAACTTCGTTGGATGCATCAACGACGAAGTCGTATCTTTCTCCGCTGTGAATGGCAAGCGACGATACCATATATGGTTCAACATCATGTCCGTCAGTTGCAATTACCTTCAGTTCGTGCCCGTCAATAGAAACCTAAAAGTTGTCATAAATGGAATGACAAATTCAGCTACCGGATGAGAATATACACAGTCGTACAATGTATGATTCATGCACAGTCCATCTCTAAAAGGTATTCTTGGTCTTTTACAGTTAATGTTCCATAGTAGGGTCAAATATTTCACGAAAAAGGGACTCCAGCTTCTCCGAAAATGCCAGTTCTATGAATAGCATCGATTTCAAAATCGCCAGTCAGACATGTAAAATCACTGATGTGACTCAGATGGGAAATGAACTACAATACCTCCCTTATAATGGCTTAGTATTGGTTTATCATGTATTTTCAGTAATACATTCCATCCCTGGCCCTGTGATGTTTTGAAAAATATGATTTCGACTGCACCATACTTGGTGTAGGTATAGAGAACTTTTAAACGTGAAAAAAACGTAAAATTGAAGATAATTTTAACGCGTAAAGGCGCGCATTAGAATGTTTACATCTTTCTATACGCGCATTGCCGTAAAAAAAAGTAACATTATTTGCATTGAGGGGGTCTGTGCAGTAATAATTAGAGGTGTGACGTCATCAAAATTGTCAAATGGAGCGTTGATATTGAAAATGTGTAAATACAATTGTGAATTTTAGAGTAACCATTCTTGCTACAATAGTGATTCTGGTATTGTTCTGTTGGCAAATAACACAAGAAAACGTCGCAATAAAAATTAATTAATTAGGAATAATTATTAACCCTCTACTAGACACAAAATCTCGCAAGTTTGAGGTTGTTCAATAGAAATTTTGTCGTATAGAAAAAATATTATTAGAGGAGTGTGTTTTAAACATTTATTGCTGAATAGAACTCTACACACTATTAAAAAGCCATGAGTGAGCTTTTAGCATAATGGTTGATGAAAAAAATATTTTAAAAATAATCCATGTAAAATGGCCCCAGAGCGACAAGTTACATAGGGTTTTAAAGTACCAATTAGAAAAAAATTAACACTCAAAAAATTATAGACAATAACAGGATTACATTATAACAATTGCAGATAAAACTTTTTTCTATCGGGATCGACCCTATATTGTCCAATTTTGTATCTTCTGCTGTATTCCGCAGGAAATAGTCCAATATTTAAACTTCATCACATTACTAAAACAAATGAAGTATGGCCCAACCATTTCAGTGCGAAGATTGCAAAAACGTGTGATTGGTACATGGCTACAAGTCACATTTATATAAAAGGTACTTACAGCATATGCACAAGAGGCAGCATTACTTATCATCCGGAATCGATAACGTGTATTTTGTTCGACATAAAAAGTCTTTCGCGGGGTAAAATGAGTAGAGTTGTCTGTTGAATTGAAGAACTCCTAAAAATAAAAAATATGAAGTTCGCTTCGTCCAAAAATGATTGTATTTCAAGTTATGTACTTGATTACTCAGCCTCCAGAAGATACCTCAAATACACCTTTTCCGTTTATTAAAACATTGTCTCCTCTGTTTGGACCACCTTCAAAGTGGTGTTTTTTGAGAAAAAAAGCTAATGTTGTTGTATGCCACCAATCTGCCAAGAATAAAACGTGCTCAGCAGAATCTTAAAATAAAAACAATAACATTTTATTAGAATGTACGCATTAATGTACTGTATTAATTTATCTTCACACCAATGAATATATGAAATACCTATTATTTCTATTAAAGGATCTTTTTTTTTTATTGTGGACCTGTTGATTTTAAAAGAATAAATTATAATTTAGTTCATCAGAACTTTTATTTATTTATTATTAATTTGGCCATGAAGATTTATTAAGGCTTAATTATTTTAACCTTCAACTTATCATATAATTCTAATAAACTTTGTGATTAGCACGCGTATTTTGACTGTAAGTAAAATTTCGTATTCCACGCAAATTTTGAAAATTCCTTCATGACGTATGGCGTAATAAGACAATTTAAATGTATTGATATTATGACGTCATATTAATTTTTAATGAAGGAGGGGGGCCCTTGATGAAATAGACTCTCGTCAACATTCTGCTCTAAATGTATGGGTTCCTCTCATAAACTAGTATTATATAAGATTGAAGATATGAACCAAAAGTGTGGTATTCGTTTGTGGTTATAAAAGTTTCTAATTCCAATTAAATAAAGGTATTATAACCATCTTTTATCTAACCAAAATTTAGTTCTATATATCTACCTACCAACATCAAATTGTCCTCGGTGTGGATCATCCTCACTGTCACGATTAATGATAAGCGCGCCAGCTAAACCATCTGCTTTTTGCAAACCGGCATGTGAATGCCAAAAATGTGTTCCTGAATGATTTGAATTAGGATAAAATAAAGAAAATCAACGTTATTGAGATTATGATTTCGGTCACTACTACGTGCGAAATTGAGCACTTCCGTAGTGTGTGCACCAGGTTAGGGTTAGGTCATAACTTTATTCCGATTTTCTCCCATTTTAGTTCTAATGCGAGAGGACTGTTTGTGTTAGCCATGAAAAATACCCCCTGCGCAGGGGCGGGCTAAGCCCCTTTGGTGCCCTAAGCACTGGAGGCTTTGGTGCCCCCATATGTGTCTTTTAAAATACATATAATTAAAATAATATAATCCATCAAAAATACTCACAACCAACAGTAAAAAAATACAACTTCTACAAACATTTTTAGGTTTTCTTACATTTTTTTGACTGTGAAATTCTGCTCATATTCCCAAAACTAATCTTATTCTTACATAATACATCTTTTACATTAAATAATGAACAACACAAAATTTTGAAAAAGATGAAATTGAAATAAAACAATACCAACAGTAAGGAAGCAAACGATGTTTTTCGGTACATTTACTTGAATTTGATTCTGATAAATTTTCTCATATTATCAAAACAAGTCTCTCTCCATACTAGATACTACGCCACTGACATTACAAAGGCACCACTAACATTTGAAAAGACAGAAGTCTTTCACTTACTTTTGAAAAGTTTTTTCCTAATTTTTTTAGCTGCAAAGTCTTTGATTAGATCCTCAAAACTAAGCTTATGTAACACATCTGCCTCTATACTCAACAGAGATAAAGCATCTAGTATTCTAGTCTGTTTTGTTTCGTAGTTGTTCTGTAGGGGTTTTTAATATACTTCAGCTGAGAAAATGAACGTTCTGCTGAACAATTTGTGATCATTAATGTTAAAAATATTTTAAAGCTGCTGTCTACATTTGAAAAGGCGCACTCAATGTTATATTCTACGAGAATTTTGTAAAGTTCAGCATGACTGAATCTTGATTTTTTTTTCCTGTGTCATTGAATTTATGGAGCACATATAAATGAGACTGCTGAAGCTCAGCTGAGAAATTACTGTTGAAATCTTCTGGGTAAGCATCAATAAGCTTTTGACAACCCTGCGAATACCTTTCCTTCTCAGCAGATGAAGAGACATTTGGTTGCAGTGGTAGCGTGAGCGCTTCATAGCGTTCAAATTCATCTCGTGGAATGCGCAGCTGGCCTCGTAATGATGCATACAGATGCGCGCATGTTTGTAAGTCTACATTCTCACTTTGCAGAACTTGACTTACTCTGTGAAAATTCTGTAAAATTTCATTCCAAAACAATAACATAAAACGAATTCCAGCTCTTGCATTTTATCTGCAATATAAGTAGTCTAGCTGCCTAGGTTTGCATCAACTGGCTTAGCAGAATATGATTTCCATATATTCTGGGAATTGTCACGATTAAGACTCACGCGTCAAGTCTCAACGTGAATCGAAATACCAGATGAACCGAGTACAAACTGCAGTTTAAAATTTTACCAGTACTTATTAGTCTAGTCTACCTTACCAGAAAACTCCCCAACTTCGCTGACCTCTAGATCGCTGAAATGCGATCGCGGAACCGCCACATAGTGCGCCATTTTTAATTTTGAAGTTGTCGCTACACCAAACTTTCGACAAGTAAGTTTCAGTGTTCATCACTAATGTACCTTCTCCGAGCATCAACCTCCTTGTTGACTTCGAGTAATTGGCCAATCAGCAAGATGCAAGAAAGTGACGTAACAATGTACCCTTTTCGCATCCGCTCAGACACTTTTCTCACTCAGACAGATTTTCAGGCATGGTTGTAAACATTACCTCGTTTTCGCGTTTTTTTATCTCTATTCGTTAGTTTTTAGTTGTGTTTCGGAAATTTGAGCATAAATCAGATAATTAAATGATCACCATGTCTTTTTATAAGTTTTAATTCAATTGCAGTAAATGAAAAATTGGTGTAAAAATAGCTGTGTTAGACTAGGCTAAAATTCCTTACCGGTACTTATAAAAAGGTGATAATTGTACACCATGAAACATAATGATGGTCTCAACAAATACCCCATTTTACAGGGGCCAACTCGCGAAACCACTCTTAAAATAAGCCCCGAGAATTTTGCAATTGTAAAGTATAGGAAGAATTTTTTGGGGGTCAAAGGTCGGGGAAAGGTCCATTGATGTACACGATTTTTTAAAGGTAGTTCGCAAACCTCCAAACATTGATCGAGAAGCTTAATATGATGCTTGAGGAAAAAAAAATACGAACAAGTCTGAGTTGTCTGTTCAACTCGTAATATTTTATTAAACACCGATGAACTATTGAAAATTCTGATATAAAAATTTCTGTGGTGCCCCCCTTTGCTTGGTGCCCTAAGCACGTGCTTATATTGTTTACTGGTTAATCCGCCCCTGCCCCTGCGCATAGCTTTACACAACTTGATGTAAAATAGGCGAACAAAACAGTGTTACCTCCACATTGGTACACACACTTTTGGAGCGCCCTGAATTGTAACATTGATAAAAAAAAGTAGAAATATTTTGGAGATATGTTAATTTGATTCACAGAAACTCATAATTTTGGCTGAATTAACACAATATTTATACCTGGAGGATATGCCGTAAACTCATAGGTGAAAGACGTTTTTGCTGGTATGGCACATTGAGTCAACATAGGAACCCCATTCATATGTGGCGTATCTTTCATGTGAAGACCATGTCAGTGAATTCCGATTCCCTCATCGTTATCAAGTTTGTTTTTGATTATCACACGAACAGTATCATTATGGCACACCTTACATAAATAAAATGTTTTTTATTTTGTATTATAATTATGCCATATGATTGTCTTATTCATTGCTAAATCGAAAGTAAATTATACATTGGATAATTAGTTCCGCACTCACCCTGATTTGGGGTCCTGGGAATAATCTGTTAACAGTTATTAAAGGACGGCCTACTCCATCAGCCGCAACGCAATGTGGTCTTGAACAATCAGAAATTGAGAATGGACAGTCGTAGCATGCTTTGGACATTGTGTAATACCTGCAAATACAATAGAACTAGTGGATATTCCCTCATTTTACCTCGCTTTTTGAAAATTTGAAATTCGTTTTTGTTAACCTGAGATAAAAACTGGTAGTTTTAATTCAAAGTGATTTGTATCTTTTGTTTTGTACTTAAAAAGACGAACTATAGCAGTAATTTGGATCTGGGTTACAAAAAATGAAAAATTTTGCCATAATAAGTCGAAACCTTAGCGCTCTGTGCCCGGTACTGTTTGAGTTGAAAACATAACAACGATTATCCTACGTATATGACAACTTCTACTTTATTTCGTAACTGCCTCATAACCGCTTCTTGAATATGTTCTACGAGTCTCACGATGTTAAATCTTATATCACTTTCAACGTACTTTGCTCGGAACCAGAAACTCCTAATTCAACTAATGGGCAATTCAATTTACCTTGGAGAATTATAGACTCTAGTTAGCATGATATTATTCTGCCAATCCGCTTTCAGACAAATGTGTCATATCAGGCGTCATTCCATGCACTTGGCGACAATGTTACTGTTGTGAGGTCGTGTTTGGGCATGTTGCCGATACCCGAGTTGTTTTTTCAAATATGATTGTCACTCTAGCGTTATATCTTATATATAACTTATTGGGTACAAAACAAAAACGGGTATTCTAAATAGAACCTGTGAAAAAACTACGTTATGTAGATACCTTTGTACTATAACTATACTGTAATCATTTGGTACATAGGTATCTATGAAAGTTTGCAATCATTAACAATTGAACATTCAGTTATTTGCATTATATGCACTCACGTCTTGGACATTTTTATCCGAGAATATATGTACGTATATAATTTTTTTTTAAAAAACACGATAAATATTCAATGTCCATTTTTTCAGGAAACGTCACTCTTACTTATTGCACTTTTTATGTAACGTTTAAATTCTTTGAGTTTGCGAGATTTCATCTACAAACAAATATATATTGACAGAAGAGTTGAAAATGACCATGTACTGGCTTCGTAAAATAATCCGATTGTACAAAATTGATAATATTTAATATAAATTGAATAAATAAAAAGAATGAGCGATAAATCTCGTTTCAAAATATCTTAAAGCAGGTTTTTTTAGCTGGTAGCTATGCACCTGTAACGAATAATCTGAATATGACATTTTTATTTGTGAAAAAATTTGAGAATAGGAAAATATTCAATGACATTCATAGCACAAATAGGCCAAGAATATAACTATTGAGGGTTCAGAATCTCGCATGATTACGTAAATTGTCACTGATGCTAGTCCTTCAAGTAAAATGTCAGTTTTGCCTGTTCACTTTGATTTTTCTTGTGTATAAAAATATATGTGCGTATGTAGAATAGGGGATGAGATTTTTTTTAAAGTTTGCTTCACTTTGTTTTGTCGTTCACGAAAAACAAATATGCTTCTAAATATTGCCACCGTTTTATTAATTTGTGTTTTAATCAACCTGTGACAGTTAATGTAATAGACTAATTCAAGTCTTACCACTCCACAACGAAATCGTATTCGCAGATTTGAGGAGAAGCTGGATATTCGCACGTTCTATCGCATGGGTGTGGATCTGAATGTTATAACACACAAATGATCACGAATGAGTATTTGAGTAATACAATGACTACATATTTCCTTGATATTTTTGAATACTAACTCTGCTTTCATTAAATGCATCCAAGCGGTAATTCAAAGAAATTTGATCTATTTTAGCCAACGTTGTCGTTCATCCATGCAGTCGTGACAAAGAGTTATTTGCTACAAGTTTGTATTGAACTTGAAACCCATCTGCCAGACGTTTTGATTAACATATACGTTCCGCTTAAACTTACCGTTAGAATTCTGTCCTGCGTCAATGACCTGAGTGTGAGCTGAAAACAAAAGTATTGTTTATATGATGCACTGTTATAAAACATTAAATGAAAATATTGTAAAACAGATGAAGACATTCTTAAACATGCACGTCAAAGAAGGCTATATGGATAAACGTGTGAATTATATTGACAGGATAGGTCTGAAACACACTATCTGTTTGTCATAAAAGATCATGCATGGTATGACCATGAGGATGATGTGAGAAAATTATACATGTGAATGTGTTTTTGATCAAATGTTAGTATTTTATTTATATTTAAAATCTAGTTTTACATAATGCTAGTAATTAATTGAGGCAATCAGATGAATAGCAACCAAAATGGTCGCAAGATCAGTATCTACATGTAAGTACATATTAAATAAAAAAAATAGTTCTTATGCTACTCACAGTCAGTCTTTACTGAAGTTGTTAATATTAACAACACACAAACAGTATCCAACATTATATCACTATTGGTGTAGTTTCTAATTGTATATATATCTAATATTTAAAACGATAAAAGGTATTCGTTTCAAAAAGTTTTATTGATGATAATTAATTATATTCTCATATCAATGCATGCCACAACTTAAAACATAAAACTTACTAATCGAGTTGTTTTGAAAGACAAACCCCTTATATATAATGACAAATCAGAATATATTAAAAATAGTCGAATTTTTTCGTGGCCAGAATTTTTTTACTCTAAAGTCTAAACAGTCTTTGTAGCCAATTGGTCATCGCAGCGGGTATTGGCTAATTTTTGAATACATTACTGAATGCAAGTTTTATTCGCTCGCTGCACAAAATCTCATAATTACAGCCGCAATAACAATAAATACTTTAATATGAAACAACTACACAAATAAATATCAGCTATAGAAATATAGCTAAAACTGACTTTCAGAAATACCATATAAACCTAGCGCATATTTAGATATCGTTTCATATTGTATCCACCCTTGTGGCAGTCAACCTTGCAAATTCCGAAATACACGTAACAAGTTCCACGAATTTGTATTGAACAATGGCAGACAACCGGTAAAGGTAGCCTTCTTTGTTTGGACGAGAGACACAAGTCACACAACCATGCAAAAACAGTCATGTGTAAATAATATATATATATATACATATAAAGTTTCAACAAAATAACTAAGTTAAATCGACATTTACTAAATCAAGTTGTATGCAAATATACATATTAGCATACAATTAAACTACTAATATTTGTATACATATATATATATATATAAACTTTTGTAATCTTTTAAAAATTTATTTTACTTCATAGGTCTGAAACAAAGTCATCAACTTTCAATCATTTTTGGTTGGGTGGGGCTTATGATTTTTCTGTCCCATTCCCATCCCATATCGATTATACCTGTCCCATGGGATTCCCATTAGAATAAAATTCAATAAAAATCGTTAAATTTAGGTTTAGCGTCTACTAAATGGACCTTTCCCCGACCTTTGACCCTCGGATAATTCTTCCTATACTTTACCATTGCAAAATTTTCGGGGCTATTTTAAGAGTGCGTTTGCGAGTTGGCGCCTGTGAAAGGGGGTATGTGTTACAAACCATCATTATGATTCATCGCATACAACAATCTTTTTTTTTTTAAGTACCGGTAAAGAATTTCAGGCTAGTATATCACAGCTATTTCTACACTAATTTTTATTACTGCAATTAAATTAAAACTCCTAGGAAGACAGAGTGATCATTGAATTATCTGATTTATATTTAAGTTTCCGAAACACAACTGAAAACTAACGAATAGAGTTCGAAAACGCGAAAACGAGGTAATGTTTACAACCACACTTGAAAATCTGTCTGAGTGAGAAAAGTGTCTGAGCGGATGCAAAAAGGGGGCATTGTTACGTCACTTTTTGCATCTTGCTGATTGGCCAATGTCACGAAGTAAACAAGGAAAACGATGCTCGGGGAAAGGTCCATAAGACTACAAGTACGAGGGGGCATGCAAAACAACAAAATTTACCAACTTTGTTAACTTTATATTCATAACTATTACACATGTGTCCATCAGCACCTTCACGAAGTATATTGGTAATACTTAATATGTTTTGCTCGTTATAACTAACAAGAGGGCTGTGCTCAAATATATGGGCACGAAATACATAACCAAATGTTTCACCATCATTTCCCCGAAAATCATGCGGTTTTCGTGTCCCATGGAAATTACAAATGTATGCTGTTCCATCCCATCCCATCTCATGAGAGTTTCCCATGGGAATCCCATTCCCATGGACAAGCCTGAAGATTTGTGAAAATTCTCTTCAACAGTGAAAAGAAAAAATGTCTTACTCAAAGGGCAGTTAGTCCAGCTATATCTAAGATAAAATAAACCCCAGAAACGAAAACATATGAACATGATATTGTTTGAATTTAATTTCCAATATCTGTAAATAGGGCTTTTAAATCTAAAAAATTTAACTAAAATTCGTACTTCGTAAGCATCCAATGACACGAGACGGATTTTTTGTCTTTATACATGTCAAGTTTAAATCCTTCTAACTCTACATTAAGTAATACTAAAGTGAAATCTGGCATGTAGGCTTATTTAGGTGATTTTGGCTGATAGGCTGTATCAGGCATGTACAGGTATGTGATTTAGCATGTTCGGATGCATAAAAAATCCTAGTAGCGGGACATGACTTCTATGTATTTTCATGCTTTTCCTTTTATATGCTGCGTTCGATATGTACAAGTACAGTAACTGCTCAAGTTGGGACGCACACAGGTGTACAGGAGTAAAACTTGTATACATATTTACGCGTTTTCATGATCAACATACAGGAATTAACGAAGAAAGTAGCGACGATGTGATTTCTGAAGGTGCAACAGTATCCTATTCAACAGCTTTAAGCCCAAGCTGGAAATCGTTCCATGGCAATCTAGCTCTTCTTTCATATCTTTATTCTGATTATTTCTCCAGTTACGATCGGCTAAGACTCGTAGTATTAGTTATCTAAAACGTGGGATAAAACTAAAAAGCTCTTTTGCTACTCGCAGGCACTGGACAATTACTGTTTTAGACCAATAAATTACAACAGAGGCAAATTTACTTATGTTCAATTTACATTGTATAATGCAGTAAATTACAAACATTGTTGCATGACAAAATCATATTCCACCGACGATTGTCTTCCCACCATTCATATGCATATTTTTGTCAAGTACCCTATCTGGATAATTATGGATATAAGTAATATGTTTGGTAAAGGTGTCTGTTGTCCAGAACTCAAAATTCCAGAGTCAGACCATGTACCGCACTTTGGAAAGTCTTCTGGAGGCTTGATCCATTGACTAGGTTCTCCTACTCTGAATACCAATGACATACCTAGGAGGAATATATTAATTCATTGAATAAATGTAACTAATTCTGTAGGTATATAGCGAGTATGGATTAAAGATACAAAACGCGAGTTTACCTATATGCAAATGGAAGGATAGATGACAATGGAAGAACCAGACTCCGGGATTATCAGCAAGAAAACGAACAACTGTGTATCCACCGTTAGGAACAATAACAGTGTCTTTCAGAACTGTGTTGAAATTGTATTCAATACTGCCGTTAGCATGAAGTTCTTTCACCAATTCGGGAGAGAGAGATTCGCCAACTCTAAAAAGAGCAGTGTACTTTAGGTTAAAATAGATTGTTTTGCAAATACTCCAAAACCTAAAAAATATTTATATTATGTTTAATATCTAAACAAAATTTTGTTTAAAATGCACTCATTTTGTTTTGTAGGTCGTATTTGAACACTGAATATTTCTTGTATTGAATTGCTGAATTCACTTTATTACTAAAGAAAAAAATTTAACAGATTTTAGCGATTTCAAAATTGAATAGCACTGAGAGCAAGCGACTTTAAACGTATTTAAGAAAAGCATACTTTTTTATTGCTACCACTTTGAAATGCTGTCCGTGTAGATGCATCGGATGACCAACATCGACAAATGGAAATCCGCCTTCGTCATAAATTACCAACTCAACAAGATTACCAATACCAACGTCAATCATGTGAGTACAAGAACAAAACTCTTCATCGCCACAAAATTGAGAACGACTTTGAGTCCAATCACTCGCCTCAGGAAAACATAGATCATCATTATCGATATCATTCGATTGCGTTAACATTGGATACATTGGAACAACAAAGGATATGTTGTTAAGTTTAGGAAACAATAGTTTCTTGTATTCGGGATATAATTTCGGATCGTTGAACGAGGGATGACCATTCATGTAGATGTCAAATCCGATAAAATGTGTTTGGTCTGGTGTATCTGAAATGAATGAATATATTTAAGTGATCAGGCAAAATTATTGATTAAATTAACGCATATACAAAACGCCAGTCTAACGAAAATTACACTGACTGAAATGTGCTGAATGAATGTTTACCTCGGTACCTAGACTGGTCTAGGTATAAATCAGAATGCTGTGGCATCAAGGACGTTATCTGAATGTTGTTTGGGTCAGTGGAATTGCTCCATTGATTGTTCAATTGCTTCACATTACTTGTTAAATTAGGAGACGCAATTATATCAACTTCTGTAGCACTTTGATACCTTTTACAAGTAAAAAATACTCAACAAACGAATTCATGCATGTTAATGCAAGAGGAAAATGTAGTTACTGTTGGAGCAGAGCCAACATTAACATTCTTAAAAAATGAACACGGATGTCAGAACGAAATATCAAATCTTTCCCCGTAGTATATGCACCAAGATGTCGGACATTGGAACTAGGTTACTACTAGTTTAGGGTTTGGACATAATTTCATTATAATTTTCTTATTTTAGTTCTATCATGAGTTCGGGGACTAACCAAGTACCTCCCGTACAATATGTAGCTGAAATTATGGCATAACCCTATCCGCCTATCTTTATTCACATACTACGGAAATACCCCCAATTGTCCCATTTGTTTTACGTTTCCCACATGAAATGAACGAATTTGTTGTTACTTCAGAATAGCTTTCTGTGTCAAATCATTGACGAAGATGGCGCAAATTTCCAATCCCCGTACACGAATCCAGTAGTTTGAGATTTCATTTGATGCATCAACAACAAAATCGAAACTTTCTCCACTGTGGATTACAATCGACGAAACTAACATTGGCTTGATGTCATAACCATCTGTCGCTATGACATTGAGTTCATGTCCGTCGATAGACACCTATTATATAATATGTAATGATAAAATAACCAATCACAATTGTAACAATCAGTAGAGGTTACGAGAGACTAACTCCCTATCCCTTCTCAATGTTTTTGTGCCAGTAGATCTGTGTGCTGCATATAAAGCAAGGATGTGTAGCAGGAATAAAAAAAACATACTATGCAATTCAAGAGTACTGCTGCACACTAACACAAATGTATTTATATTTATAACGTTTTGTTGGACCAAAATCAGACTTCCTCATACAAGCATATAGTTTCAATTTCGAGTTTAAAAACAAGTGTTCATGTTTAATTTCGACAGTGTAAATATCATGTAAAAGGTGAGTCAGTTGCAAGTCATTAGTTGAAAATTGAAGTAAAACAATATTTTATCAAATCCAATCATTAAAAGTATATCTCAGATCACGTTGTCTCCTAAACTTTCAAACCATACAAACTTGGTTTGAACTTTTCAATGATAACCTCAACCATAGCAACAGCATGGTGAAAAGTCTGTAATTTACCTCAAACGAACAAAATGCAGCACTGCTAATCATACGAAATTTATATCGTTTATTCTTTTCAACAGTAAAAACTTTTCTTGGAGTAGAATACGTGATGTTAGCCGTTGTATTGAAAAATTCCTACAAAAGAAGAAATATCCTTTAACAAACAATGGATAATGATAACTTTAAATACGCAAATAAAAGTATTTCATTCTATTCATAGTAATGAAAATTTATTTTTGCTAAACTTTGCTTTTTCTTAGTCATGATAACGAATATTAGAAATTTAAAGTCGATCAGATTGTACAGAATAACATTTCAACTTATTCCTTTGAATTCTAAATTATTCTTGTCATGTTTTAATCACATGAGATGAGATCAGTATTATATTAATGTTATATTATTCTAAATACTTACTTTGAAAACACCTTTCCCGTTTATTAATACATTATCTCCAATAAACAAGCCGAAATTATGATGAGACGATGCATATCTATCTAAGGTTGTTGTATGTAACCAATCCATCAAGAATATAACATAGTCGTCAGAATCTAGAAATCAGAATTGTCCATGTTTTGGTAAGTATTATTTTCCAACTCACAACTGAGAAGAGAAGTTTGAATATTGGTCGATATATATAAATTTAAAAATACATACCTACGTCATATAAATCTCGATGGGGATCTTGATCTGGAGGTCTGTTTACAATGAGGGGACCAGCTAAGCCGTCAGCCCGTTGAAAGCCAGAATGCGAATGCCACCAATGAGTACCTAAGTACAATACAGAACACCTACCGTATTTTACACAGATAGCATGAATTTGAAAATAGTTTCCCATAAGGCTGTTACATTTTCTGACGTATAATATTTAGTAGTAAACCATTGAACTAAATGACTTTGACTTTCACAATGTTAGAAATTACAAAAATAAATTGTATGGTCAATCATATAAACTGTTTTAAGATAATTGACACAGAATGCTTTATCTTTTATGCGTATATACCTGGTGGGTCTGCTAAAAACTCATAAGTGAACGTTGTTCTGGATGGGATGCCACACTGTGTTATCATGGGAACACCATCCATGTGTGGTGTGTCTTTCATAAAAAGACCATGCCAATGAATTGTGACGCTTTCGTCATCAACGAGTTGATTGTCAACCACTACACGTACAGTATCATTGTAACAAACCTGAAATACATAATATATGTTGAAACTATTTTAATCGTTGTAGAGAAAATTTTTTGAGAAAATCTGGAAAAGATGTCACCCAAAGTATAGAATATATCTTAGTTGTAATTATTGTCAATATTGTTTTAGAATTTCATTCACTAAACATTGTTGAAGTCAGGTTTACATACACGTGACTAGCTTCTGGACCACGTTGGATACACAATTTAAACAATTCAAGTTAACTAGATAATAATATTTGATAATTGTGTAAAGCTTGAGTGCGTGGATATCAGTTACCCTGATTGAAGGCCCTTGAAACTGTCTGTTCACAGTTACCAACGGTCTATTAATACCATCCGCAGGAATACAATGAGGTCTCGAGCAGTCGTCTGCAACAAATGGACAATCGTAACATGCTTTCGACATTGTGTAGTACCTTGTAAAGAATCATTACAAATTTATAGCAACAGAAACATTTTATGCATCGTTTTTTGGCCTTTCATTCAAAAACAGTATAGGTACTTTAATCTTGTAGTTAACATATTTTAAATGTTCTGGTATAATAGGTGCTTTTGAGACTTAATAATAGTAATAATTAGGTTTACTAGAATTTCTTTGCTAAGCCATAAACATAGAATCAGTTATTTAAATTCCCAACCAGTCTATAATAGTAATCTATCTTTTGGATATGTCTCATTCACGAAATATTTATGTGAGGATCAATTGAAAAACATTTTCATATTGAACTTTTCTCGTCGTTCAATAAGCAAATATCAATTCTTCATGACAATAGAGCATATGTATATTTATGAAAATCTGAAATATCATACCATTCAATTACAAAGTCGTATTCACAAATTTTTGGTGATGGAGGGTATTCACACTGTCTGTCGCATGGGTGGAGATCTTAAAATGGCAAATAAATACTAAATTTTGAATATTTCGTCACTTAATGCATTTAATTTCAAGAAGTGATATTGTCAGTGTTTGCGCTAATTTAGGGATTTAAGTTTTTAATTTGGTGATTGGTTTAAGACAGGTTTAAAGAAACGAGTACCTAAATACGAAAATAGAAAAGTTACGAGTGATAACTAAAAAAGACTCTGAATTATACTATGGTGTGATAGATGATGGATACGCACATCACTATCGCAAAAAGCGCAGAATAAAAGGTACTCCCGAAGTATGTGCACCAAGATGGCGGACACCGGACGTCGTATGTGTAGTTGTGTACCAGGTTAGGGTCAGGCCATAATTTAAAGTACAAATACTACGGGTGTCACTTTTCTAGGAAATAAAACAAGGAAAATTGCAATGACGTTCCGGTGTCTGCCATCTTGGTGCACATACTTCGGGAGTACCTTTTATCGACTTTGACACATATTGTATTTTTGCTTGCTTTTTGTTTTGTATCACATTTTTTAACCAAACGAACACAGTATGATTTAAAATACCTCACCTTTACTATGAATCAACGTTGTACCAAATGCATGTAAAACAATCAGGATTAGTTCACAACGCATCATTTCTCCTTTGCTCATTCAAAACCAGATACAATAGTACAATACTAATAACTATACAATTACAAAGGTAAAATAAATACTGTGAAATCCGATATTTGTAAGCGACGATAAAAGTTTATATATTTTATTAAACACAAACACAACTGCAATGCTCAAAATATATGGACACGAAATTGTTAACGCCAATTCCACAAACGCCGTACAGTAGGCTCCACAAAGTACAGCAGAAATTTGCTTATAAAAGCACAAAAAAGGTATGTATATATTCCAACACTTATTTTTGATATTTTATTAATATTTCAATTACCTAGTTTCCAAAAAATGATATATTTAAATAAAGAGAGAAAATGATAAAGGAAATAATATGCGAACAAAACATCTGGATTGGGAATTGATAAATGCAGTTTTGATTGTGTGTTTTTGCAATAAATGTAATTTTGGAGAATACTATTCAAAAAACGACTACATTTAGAATAGATATTAAGATACTTGTTCACACTACACTCGACGACTATTTGATGCTATACTTTCTTTATTTTTTTTTATCTTTAACTGAAAGCAGCAGAATTTTTATCTCAATGCAGTAACGTGTTTGACCCGCCATTCTATACGTTCGACATTGAGCGGTATCTCGGCAGGGCTCGTTTTCTGGCTAACAACAAATCACAAAAAGCCAATCACGTACTTGAAGAAATGACATTTTGAAGGGAAGTCTGTGTTTGGCAAGCCGTAGCTACAAAGCTAGTCAACCATGAATATACAAAGCAGTACGAGGTTGCACGCATACATTTTTGTCACCCTATTTTTCTGTCAACTTTACAAATAATGTAATACACATTCACAATCCTTACGCGTTTGTGATATAGCTGCAATCCAAGTGGAAATATTTTCACTGCTGATGACGATGCCAACATAAAAATGAAACGTCGAAACTATTTCAGCCCTCAAACAACAATACACTATCACAATTTTTTTTAATTAATTACAGCAGTTTTAATTAAATGCAATTAAAATGATAAATGCCCTAAAAAAATCTACAAACAACATATAAAGAGGAACTTAATATTTCGTGAGCATTTACGGTCCTACTCAAGTGTTACATGCTTGGAATTGAGATTTTTCGATCGCATGTGACCCGAATATACCGTCAAGTTCGATCATCAATGACTCAAAGAATAGAACACATTCAGATTATAGTTCAAGTTCACAAATTTTTGTGATACCATGGCTAAGAAACGATATAATATCAGCACGTTATGTTACCACATGGACCAATTAAATTTGTGTGTTTTTATGAATATTTCTAACTTAAAGATTTTATGAAAAATATGCGGTAATCATTGCAGCTTCAAAAAGCGATTCCAGCTATTACGTATTCGTCATAGTTATTTTTATTACGATGCTTAATCGCGCCTTTCGCCCTAAAACAATTCACTTTACAAGTACCCACTGAAATGTCAATATATAGAAAGTATTGCTAATGATTTGGCTTCTGCGGGACTAACTACTTATACTTCTTCTAATCTTTTGTATCGGTGGATCCGTATGCCTAAAATAAATGCAAGGATGCTGTAGCAAGAGTAAAGATAACTATCCAAAGTGATTCAAGAGTCTTGCTGCACATTAACGCAAATATATTTCTGTAACGTTACGTCTAACCAGGGTCAGACTTCTTCAGACATAACTCAACCCTAGTAAGAAAAGCAGTTGCATGCATATATAGACAATCGGTGTAAAACTATTGAAGTTACGCATGTTAAAGGATTAATAAAATCGTCGAATTCTTGATTAATAATAACAGCGGGTGTCTGAAATGAAAGGTCTTCGATGAGATCTCTCTGTTTTTAAGTTTAACAATTAAGTCCAGATTAAACAATGGTGTTTTATGTTTCTCAGCATTGGATTATGCAGGCACCCGCTGCTTATTATGTAAGCTATTCATTTAGAATTAAAAACATGCAACGTGCCTATTTAAACTTTTTTTATGTATTACATAATCCACTCAATTTGATTGGATCAAATTCAATTTGAACTTTGTGTCAACTGTCAATATACCACGTCGTTGCTCTTATACATTCAATAGTTGTTGAATCTAAACACATTCAAGTAGGCAAATATGCCGATGAACTTTGAGTGTCTTTTGATTTTGATCCAAACCCATCTGCCAGACGTTTTAATTGGACACGTTTAGTGGACATAACGATCGTTTGGTTGTTATGTTGTTCTTTGACACTTTTTGGACACCTAGTGGAAATATTATAAAAACACTTTTCTCTTTGATCACTGGACCAATTGCTTGGTTGAAATTTTTAGTGGTTAAAGACGAAATTTTTCTTCAGAAGGCTATTAATTTTGTTTATTTCAAATATTTCTGTTAGCTCTGTAAGATTTGTTTTTGTTTGCTATGACGTCACTGAACGTTCTGCGGACGCATATGCAGGCACTCCTCTTTTTGATCACGTGTCATCGAACGTTGGCGTGACGTCGGATTCTGAAAGTCGTTGCTCAAAAATCGCTAGTTTTTCGAGGTTACCGACGAATGGCGGTGATGCTAAAGGTACGGTAGACCGTACTGTACTGCTTCGTTTGGTGTGAATATATTTGTGGACTGTGGTCTAGACTAGAGGCACGATAAACCGTACTTCACTGCTTCGCTTGGTGTGAATATATTTGTAGACTGTGGTCTAAAGGTACGGTAAACCGTACCGGTACCGGTACTCTACTGCTTCGCTTGGTGTGAATATATTTGTAGACTGTGGTATCCGCTGTTATAATACCGTGATAAATCGAATAAGTTTGTTTTGCAAAGAAGAAGCGTCTGGCATTACAGGTAGGAGGGGGGGGGCGTGTTTTTGTCTGTTTGATTGCTGTGATGTGATGCTTTGTTTATACAGGTACTTATAAGTCACCGCATATGATTTTTGGGGAATTGTTCTGCGTGTCCATATATTTGAGCATTGCTGTGTTGTTACCGTATACGTTCCGTTTTTAAACTTACCGTTAGAATTCTGTCTCGCGTCAATGACCTGCGTGTGAGCTGAAAGTATTGTTTATATTATGCACTGTTATCAAACATTAAATGAAAATATTGTAAAAACAAATGAAGACATTTTTTTCAACATGCACGTCAAAGAAGGCTATTATGGATGCATGTATAAATCATATTGACTGAATAGGTCTCGAACACACACTACCTGAGAATGATATTTTTTTCAAATATGGGATGAGAAAATTATAGTATTTTATTTATATTGATGATGATATGCTATTGAAAAATCTAGTATTACAAAAATGCTGGTAATTTATTAGGGCAATCAGATGAGTAGCAACCAAAAATAGCCATAAGATCCGTATGCATGTAAGCACATGTTTAAACAGGTAAAGTAGTTTTTATGCTACTCACAGTCGCTTTTCACCGAATTTGTTGATAGTAACAAAACACAAACATACAGTATCCGACAGTATACCGCTATTCGTGTAGTTTCTAATTGTAATATATACCTAATATTTGAAACGATAAAAGGTTCTCGATTCAAATGATTTCAATAATAATAATCATATCATTGCATGCCACAACTTAAAACATGTATATAATCCCATATACTCGTATATAGTGACAATTCCGAGTGAACTAAAAATAGTCGATTCGATTTCGACCATTTTTCTTTGTGATCAGAAATTTTTACTTCAAACAGTCCTTGAGCTCAGTCGGTGCTTGCAGAGGATTACTGACTAATTTTCGAATATTTTACTGAATGCAAGTTTTATACAACGCTCTCTACACAAAATCTCATTATTACAGCCGCAATAACAATAAATACTGGGGCTCCCGAAGTATGCGAACCAAGATGGCGGACATCGGAATGTAATATGTGTACTAGGTTAGGGTTAGGCCATAATTTTAGGTATAAATACTACGGGAGGATCTTGGCTAGTCTTCGAACTAATAATAGGACTAAAATAAGGGAAATTTGAAAAAAATTATCGCCTAACCCGAACCTGTTACCCATGTTACGTTCCGATGTCCGCCATCTTGGTTCGCATACTTCGGGAGCACCTAAATACTTTTATATACAACAACTACACACAGATATATTTTTTTCAGCTAAAACTGACTTACAGAAATACCATAATACGCGGTTTCAGATAGCGTTCATATTGTATCTACCCTTGTGGCAGTCAACCATGCAAAATCCGAAATACACGTAACAAGTTCTACGAATTTGCATTAGAAAACGGCAACCAAGCGGTAAAGGTCTTTTGTTTAGACGAGGAAGATAACCATGCAAAAACGATCAAATGTAAATGATTCCATACATATTTTATATAGGTGTGGAACCAAGCCATCAACTTCCAATTTTTTTTGGCGGAGTGGGGGTTACGAAAAACAGGAAAAAGAGATTCCGTAAGAATCAAATTGGCCCAATTCGTGAGAA